AGTTCGAGTACGGAGAGGAGGAGGGCGAAGCTCGGTAACCTGTAGCAGCAGCTAAGGGAGAGCAGGATTCGTCCGGACAGTGTAGACGCGAAAGGAGAGGGACCAGGCGTTTCGTTCGGTAACCTGTAGCAGCAGCTAAGGGAGAGCGGAGTATCGTTGGTGCCCTGATAGCAGCGTCAGAGTCCTAGGTCTTCAATCTCCGTGAGAATTGTCGGGACGACAATTTTGAAGAAGGGGGCAGTGTTGCGCCCCCGTGTTACGCCCCTGGATCTACATCTTTGTATCGGGTGATACTTTTCGCGGGATCAACTCTTTACGCTTCCGGGAGATCGTCGTCAAGGGAGTTGTTGTTAAACAACTAAGGGTCTTCTTCTGTTTTCGGGAGACATGACAGTTTTGGTCTAGCGGTCGCATCGTGCGGACGTTTTCCGAGACCGGAGCTTCTTTGCATTACGAATGCACTATTTGTTATATTTCATTGGTTTCGTGTATTGGTTCCTCATATTAAAGTTCATTTCCCTATTATGCGAGTGTCTTTATTTCGCGCGCGAGTGAGAGTGACTGTGTGTGAGTGACTGAGCGAGAGGCGTCCCGAGGACGCAACAATATATATATATATATATATATATATATATAAGAGAGAATGGGGGAATTGCAGTCAATAAGAATTATTTATTTTCAGAAAAAAAATGTCTTCAGAACCAAAATGGAATAGTTGACGGATACTTCATCAATCATTCTTTGAAGATGGAAGCATAAAAGTTAAGAAAGCTAATATATAATTGAGCCTGCATTGATTAAAAAATCTATAAATTGACCACAATTGACCGACGTGTTGGGTAAATACGGTCGCCTCTTGGGGTAATGCCAGCTGGTCGCTAGCAGGCAGAATTCGGTGGTATATTTTGATTACGAAATTGAAAATCCATAGAACCAATCTACGCCAGCACACTTTTTTTTTATTAAAATTATTGGGGATGTTGTGACGTTCAGCAAACTCAAATGCTGCACAGCGCACTTGAAGAGGTGTCTGTCTGTCTCTCTCTCTCTCTCTCTCTCTCTCTCTCTCTCTCTCTCTATATATATATATATATATATATAGTTAAAAATTAAGATAAGTGAGCTTAAATAAGATTATGTTTTTATTAATTCACATGGTTTATATACAGGGTTTGTCCGGAAAGTAATGCGTCGCATTTTTTTAAAAAATAATTTATTGATCGCATAGGTAAAACAACTTAAATTTGTTCGAAGTATGACCCTTCTGCGTCAATACATTTTGCCAACGCGATTTCCATGCGTCATAAGATTTCTGGAACTCCTTGACTGGGATGCTGTTCAGGGAGGCCGTCGAAGTAGCTTGTACGTTGTCAACCGACTCGAGCTGTTGTCCTTTGAGCTCCCTTTTCAGCCGAGGAAATAAAAAAAAGTCCGCCGGGGCCAAGTCGGGACTGTAGGGCGGCTGCGGCACCGTTGCCACACCGATCCGGGTCAGGTAGGCCGTAATAACAAAGGCGGTGTGAGCCGGCGCGTTGTCGTGATGGAGTTTCCATGAAGCGCGGATCTCCTTTCGGACGCGGGCGATCCTGTGATTCAGTCTCTGAAGCACTTCCTTGTAAAATTGAGCGTTGACAGTCTGGCCGGGGGGTACAAATTCATGGTGCACTATCCCCTTTGCATCAAAAAAAACAATGAGCATTGACTTCACCCGGGACTTGCTCATGCGAGCCTTCTTCTGGCGCGGCGACGACGTCGTGTGCCATTCCGCACTCTGCCTCTTTGACTCCGGATCGTACTGAAAGACCCATGACTCATCCCCAGTGATAACGTTGTTCAGGAAATTGGGATTATCTGCACAGAGTTGCTTGAGTTCTTCACAAACTTCCACTCGGTGTTGCTTTTGCGCATCGGTCAACACTCTGGGCACAAGTTTTGCGCAAATCTTCCGCATGGCCAAGTCTTCCGATACAATCTCGTGAACAATCGTTTTCGGCAAGTTCAATAATTCCGACATTAAGCGAACATTCATTCGACGGTCTGAATTCAATAATTGGCGCACACGAGTCACATTGTCGTCCGTTCGCGATGTTGACGGGCGTCCTGCGCGGGCCTCGTCGGCGACCTCCTTCCGACCTTCTCTAAACATCTTGTGCCATCTGTTTGACTGCGATTTGGAAAGGCAATCGTCCCCGAAAACTTTCTTGAGCATTTCAAAAGTTTCCAGCGGCGTCTTGTCCAGCTTCACGCAAAACTTTATCGCATAGCGTTGCTCTATCGTTCTCTCCATCACAAGTTCGACGCGACCACTAAGCAGAGGTTCACAGAATAAGCCGTCCTAACCCTCCAAGCGCATGGAAACAATTGAGCGACCTACCGTTGGAAAGCTAAGGGTACCCCCCTTCCTCCCCAACCGGTCCCATCGCTCTGCGATGTATAGTCGCGTCACAAAAAAATGCGACGCATTACTTTCCGGACATACAAGTAAAAATGTTTGCACATATAACGTTTAAATATATAATATTGTATAAAACACACGTGTATGTATATATATATATATATATATATATATATACGTGTGTTTTATATTTATAATAATTGAATAAAGACATTTTAGGCTCACTCACCTCAAATTAAATGTAAGACAGAAGTTGCATTTTTTTAAATTAAAGGCTGTGTAATAAAATAGATAAATACTACAAATACGAATTTATTTTATTGTTGCCGTTTAGAGGTAGTATCAGTACTAGATGCTCAACCATTTTATTGTTATCATTTGAAAGTTTAATTGTTAGCACATAAGTCTAAATGATGTAAAACGTACATATAATGAATAAATAAATATATTATGTTATTATATTTTGTTATATATTTTTTTTCTTTTTAAAATTTAATTTAAACGTTATTTTTAAGCAATTATTTTAAGGCAATTCTAAAATCATTATAACGTCATACTATTGTCATCTAATGACGCAATTTTATTGTCATCTGATGACATCATACTGTTGTCATCTGATGACGTCATTTATGCTGTGACAAATGGCCGTCAGTATAGGGTTATTTGTACGTCATACTGACCGTCAGTTTGACGTAAGTTCTGACAAAAACGTACGTAAAAAAGACGTCTCATTGACGACGTTGTGCTACCTGGGATATATTATATCTATCTTCACAAAAATTCTATCAATAAACGTAAATTAACTTGATACTTTTAACAAATGTAATATATCGAGTACAGTATACCTAAAAGTTACCACAATCAAATAAATCAGTATAATTTTCTTATACGATACACATTTTAAAATAATCAAAGGAATAAAAAAAATATCCAAAAAATAGACAAATTTTAGAGAGTTGACTTTGGACGGTATTTATAGTCCAAGCTTAAACATCGTCTTAAGATTTTCTTGATTAAGATAGTCTTGTTTGTAAGTATGACTTGAGACTTCATGTATTCATAGTTTTAATTAAAATGAGACGATCTTCATAAAAAAATAAACACTTCTTGTTATTTAAGATTTTTTTACTGAATTTAGTGCTTAAGATGATCTGATTTACTTTCAGTAATCTTTGGGATTTTTCTGATGTATCAGCGAATGAAATATGTTTAAATATAGAAAAATTTAACAAGATGTATGTCTATACCATTTATTTATGTTATCAAATTATTACAGACTCTAAAGTATTGTTAGAAAGTAATTTTACTGTAAAAAAAAATATCAAGCAAAAAAAAAACATTATATAGATCCCGAAAAGAATTCTTTCTTAAAATTTTAACAAAATATTCTCCTTGAAAAAAGTGATGCTACAACTTTGAAACAAGAAGCATGGAATCAAACTTCCGATTCATATATCTATTGTAATAAAGTAAAAAATCTATATATTTTTTCTAATTAGGTATGTTAAATGCTTGAAATAAAAATGTTAATTATATCTGAAGAAAATCTAATATATTTGCGGTAGATAGTTTCATTTTTAAGCTTAAATATTTTTTATATTCAAAGTAATTTAATTTTTAACATTTTAATGTGTAATAAATTATTACAGAGAAGCGTTCAATTTAGAAAATTATGGAGTAATTTAAAATCAGTACAGAGAGATATCCTTACGCAGGAAAAACATGCACGTTTATCAACAGGTGGTGGACCTGAACCTAAATCTGCAAAGATTGACCCGGACATTGCCGCAATAGCACCCAATTTAATGACAATTGCACCAACATTATTTTCATCAAATTTATCAGATAAAATACTAAAAGGTACTTTCATCTTTATTTTATTTATTTATATTATAATAAAAATTGAAAAAATAGTAACAATGAATATTTTTCAGAACGACAACAAAGAATATTAATGATTTGTATTCCTGAGGAATTAATTGAAAATGTGGAGAGCATAGACTTTATTGATGATGATTTCCAGGAAGTTAATAATGATTCTATTATCACACTTCCTACAAATGATAAAATAATTAATTTTATTGATATTTTCTATTAACATATTTGTTTATGAATAAGAATTTAGAATTTTTGAATGTTACAGACTCAAGCAGTAATGAGACTGATGATGCTGAAAAAGAAAATAATCCAGTAAATGAAATAATTAAAAATAATAATAAAGATAAATTTTATTAATATATTTATTTTTAGACACACCTCTCTCTCTCTCTCTCTCTCTCTCTCTGTGTGTGTGTGTGTGTTGCGTAGTATCTTAAGCATATTTAACAATTTGTTTTGTACTGGTGGAATCGGCAGACCACGATTGTTAATTTTTGCTAAAATCCTTCTTCAATTTTTCGTAATATTCCATATAGGAGGAATCCTTATTAATCTATAGCGTCTTTTAAATTGTAAATTATTATAAAAGGGTTTTAAAAAGTCCATCACGAATGTATCATTTTCGTACACGATCTCTCTACTTGAAAATCACGATCAATTAATATTTTTCAATATCATCAATTTCTTTTCCATTATATATAATTCCATAATATTTAATAATAAAGGCGGGAGCACAGACTTTTGCATAACGCATAAGGCATAAAGCATAAAGAAATAAACCAATGAGAGTCCTTCATTTCTATCCCCACTTCTCATTCTGCGGATCTTGCATAGTGCACAAAACATGATGCATAAAGAGTCGAAAAATCCGTAAGGACGAACTTTTATGCGTTATGCAAACAGATACGCGTCTAGATTGTATATTATCATCTCCATCATATTGTGTTCCAGTTTCTAACCTATTCTTTTTTTTACAATACATGTTGTAAGTACTGCATTATTAATAATTATATATATAATTGGATATTTATATTTTATTACATTACAATCAATATTTTATATCGATAGGAAAATGGATCATAAGACATACTGTTTTGATTCTCAATATCAAACTGAATCTTACTACGGACAGATGCAATGTGATTCTGAAAATGAACATAAAAATGAAAATTTTTGTGAAATAGAGAACGAAATAAATGAAAACGAAATAGATGGAGATGCTTTACTTATAGCTTTAGTACATGACCATCCCTATTTATATAATAAAGAACTGACTTTAAAGATCAGTTGAAAAAGCTGAATGCCTGGAGTGAAATTGCAATCGTTTTGAACATGACAGGTATTTATGTAGTATTTTTCTAAATTTCAACTTATTCTTTATTTTAACAAATTTTTTGTAAGAAATTAATTTTTCATTAGTTACTTTGTGTGAATAACTTAAACTTATGAAGTAATTGAAATAAATTGTAATGTTAATTTAAACTAATGACAGACAGTATAATTTTTCATGTTAGATTGCAAACTAGTAAACAATTTGCTAGAAATGTAGCATGCAGCATTTTTAACAAGCTAGATTGCATGCGATCTAGCATGAAAAATTGTACCGCATGCTGCTAAATTTAATGTAATTTTTGTTGCTAGCGGATGAGTGCCAATCTAGATGGACACGCTTACGTGAAAGATATACAAGAGAGAAAAAGCAAAGACAAGAAGAGACAACCACTGGAAGTGGAGCCTCAAAAAGGAAAACTTTCGAATTTTTCAATAACATGCAATTTTTGGATCCATTCGTTAAGAAAAGAAGGTATAGTAAAAATTGTGAAGAAATTAGAATAATCAAGATTTCTTTTTTATATATTATCTTCTTAAAACTCTTTGTACTGCAAAAAAGCAATTTTTGATATTTTGTTTCAGAACAATGACCAACGTGCATGCAGTGACCAAAAACTCTCCATTGACTAAACGGTACATTTCTTTTCAAAAGTATGTAAAATATAAACATAATATTCATATAAATTATTCATATAATTAAAAGTGCTTCTACTTGCAAATTAGTAATGAAATCTCTATTTTCTATTTTTAGAAACTTTAGCTCCAATAACGAAAAAGAAAATCTCCCTTTGAATGCAAGTATCTTGATTGAGCAGAATTCTTCAAAAGTTAATATAGAATCATTAGAACAAAATCGATTTAATTCAAACTCAAGTGGCAGAAATGAAGTGAACATATCTTCTACAGCTACTTTAAGTGAACAGTCTTTTACAGATATAAATTCAGCACATCTAAGGTACATATTTTCACAAGCATTTTTATTTGTAGCATTTTTCATGTTGTAAAAATTTTGTTTGTTTGAAAAAATTTATAATTTTTAGAGACTCAACTTCACTTTTATACAAATCAAGCGACGCGGTAGCCTCACCATACCAGTCTGATGCTTCTTCAGTCTCAGTATTAAGTGCCTGTGATTATGCGACAAAGAAAGGTTTAAATAGTAAAATTAAATCAAAAGGAAAATCGCAGCCGGATGTTGCAAATGCAATTTCCAAAGTCACATCTTTGCTAGAGAATAAATACTCTTCACCTGTTTCAACTGTTTCGTCATCTTTAAAACCGGAAGTAGAAGAAGATGTGGCTTTCTGTCAATTAATACTTTCTTCACTTACAAAGATGCAGGGGTGTAAAAAGAAAAAAAGAAGGATATATTGCGCATTATATACGATATTTAAAATAATCGAAGTTCTTAAAAGACTGATACAATTCTGAGAACTGCCTTGTGAGAATTGTCTTGTCATATTTCTGTTTTTGATTTTAATTTTTTGTTTTGTTCAGAGTTTCAATAATATAAAATGTATTAACGTAAATCTATTTAAGTTAATTTATCAGTTTAATTTTTATCTTGTTTATTATTTAGAGTTCAGAGTTTAAATATAAATAACTTCGAAAATTATTTAAAAACTTAGAAAAATTCGAAAGTTAAAAAATATTATATTAAAATAATATAAAATATACATTAATAGAAATAATATCAATTAAGTTTTAATTTCTTTAGTAATATAAGAATAATATGAAATGTGTCGGAGCAGAAACATAAGCAACATAGATTATATTCTGGACGGGTTCGTACTCCGGCGTAATATTATTAATATGTCGAGACGCAAATGTCGATTGTGCAACGTCTTTTTTTTAATTATTCAAAACTAGTAAGTAAGTGTTAAAACTTGAGAGATGTAGAAAGTGCACTTTAATGTTATAAGTTAAAAGTGAGGAGATATGCAATAATAGATAAATCATTTTATTACGTTGATTTTTTATTAAACAGTGAGTTTAAATATGTAACACTAATAATGAATACGCAAACAGCTAACCTGTAATTAAACATTTTTTTATTTTCTGGATGAAGGTGGCAGCATAATATTATTTATTTATTATTAGTTTGGAAAATCGCTATCTCCAAGAAACAAACACAATAATTTAGTGTTGCTTTTAGGAAGATTTGTAAAACCTTCAGAAAGATTTAATGTTCCTTCTTGCAGTGCCAATGAATATCAGAAGTGATAAAAGTATCACTACTATTACTATTACGTATACGTAAATAACATTAAAATGTTTTATATTTTTTTAGAGACTGCGAGTATATGTAATGTATGTATGTATATATATGTACTTACTGTGATGTATTATTATATGACACAAATTAATGTTTTTACTTTTATTTATGAAGCTTACATAGTTTATTTTTTGTACATGCATGTTTACATAATTATGTAATTTAATAATATAAAATTTATTAACATAAATAATATCAATTTCAGTTTTTTGTTTAAAGTTTTTTAGAGTTTAAAATTTAAATGTAATAAAGTATATCAATATAAAATAAAATATAATTGGTATTAAAATAAAATATAATTTGTATTGAATATTTTATCATGGATCATCGTGATGCAGCCCTCTTCTAATATACTGATATTGCCATGGAACTTCACCTTGTGGCGTTAAAAAATAATCAGCCAATGTATCTCTTTGTCTATATGCAACTGCAGTTGCATTATGCGTTGAAGTAGGAGGGATGTCTTTAAATACATTTTGAGTATATCGCCGCCACTCTCCAGGAATAACGTTACCTGTTGCATCTTCCGAATCAATAAAATTAGGAGGACAATATATTTTATTCTCCGTTTGCATAAGATCTTCCTCAAACTTTATATAATTATGTAAACATATTGTCGCCATGACAATTTTATCTATATATTTAGGGTGCATATTAATCGGTTTTCGATAAATTCTCCACCGTGAAGATAAGATGCCAAAAGTGTTTTCTATTGTACGTCTGGCTCTAGACAATCTGTAATTCAATAAAACGCTTGATAAGCATACATATATGTATATATATCTTATATAATAACGCTAATAATAAATACGCAAACTAACCTGTAATTAAATATTTTTTTTCTTTCATCATGTAATTTTCCAGCGTAAGGTCGCATCATAATACTACTGATGGGAAAACCGCTATCTCCGAGAAAAAAGCATGGCAATTTAACGTTGCTTCCAGGAAGATTTGCGAATCCTTTAGGAAGATTTAATGTTTCTTCTTGCAGTGCCGAATGAATATCAGAAGAAGTAAAAATTCCACCATCGCTATTACCATCATACGAACCTACATCGACTAATGTGAATCTATATCTGTGATCACATGCAGCCATCAATACAATACTAAATGTCTTTTTATAGTTAAAAAATAAGCTTCCAGAATTTGGCGGAGCTTGTATTTCCACGTGTTTCCCATCAAATGATCCAACACAATGAGGAAAATTCCAATTTTCCAGAAAACCAGTGCAAATATTTTTCCATTCTTCTTCTCTTGGTAGACGAAGGTAAATTGGTTGCAATATTTTTACTATTACTGAACAAGTTTCATGAATAATTTTTCGGACTGTTGACTCTCCACATCTAAAAGCTAGGGCAATAGACAATATTTGATCCCCAGTTGCTAAATATCTGCAAAATGTCTTGATATGTATATAAAACAATATTACCAAATAAAATATTTGCAAAAGTAAATTTACTAGACATGTTTATTTTATTTTTTTATTTAACAGTATATGATAAAAAAGTAATTAAGTACCTCAGAGTTATGATCAATCGTTGTTCTGGACTAAAAGCTCTTTTGCTCAATTTAGTTAAAAAAGGCTTTGTCATTTGTAATAAATGATTAAACGTTTCTTTCCTCATTCTTGCATATCGAAAAATACATCGATATCATTATATTTCAATTCGTTAAAGAGATGTTCAAAGTCCCCATTAGAGTTTCTAATCCCGGGATACCGAATTCGGGATCTCGGGATCCCGATCAATTTTACAATCTCGAAAATCCTCGGGATTCATCACCATAAATCCCGAAATTTCGGGATTTGCAGTTTCAGTAATTAATACTTATATAATATATTGATGTATACAAAAATTATACTTTAATATTATTTCTAGTTTATCATTATCATTATCAATATTTTTAATTGATATTTTAATGTGTTATTAAAGATATATTTAATATATTTAATGTGTCCATATTTAAAACTTAGTTCCGAGTAAGAATCACTTATTTTTTTCACATATTGATGGAGCTTTTTATTTTAAATTTTGCGAGACAATAGACGTGACGCAAGATGCAACGCCATCGTCAGGGAAAAGATATGAAACATGTTTAATAGGCTAATAACTCGCGTACCGATACCTAACCTATCTGTGCTTTTACCGGTGCGATGTGCAATAAATAATAGGTTAGATTAGGAGTATTTGTTTATAGAGAGAGAGTATTTCTTATATTATATTATATAATTATATATAATTTATATAACTAATTTTATAACATGGAGCAACAAGATATTGTGTATATTCCACATAAAAGATAAATGTGACACATCCATATGGTATTATTTTTTGAAAGCTGTAAATGGAAATACTGCAAAGTGCAAGCAATGTAACGCCGTATTGAAGACCCTTGGTGGCAGTACAAAAGGTTTACATACTCATTTAATGGCTAAACATAACAAAAAAGTTAATAATGCTAACACTTTAAACTTGCCTGAAACTGAAATACTACCAAAGAAACGAAAAATCTCTAATTATTTTATACCTTTTGAAAAATCTTCATTAGATGCAGTTTTAGCTCGGATGACTGCTTTAGATGGATTGTCATTTAATCTTTTTGTCAAATCACATGATTTAAGACAACTTTTAATATCAAAAGGCTATAATGATTTACCTACTTCTGTCACTGCCATACGCAATAGAGTTATTAATTATTCATTGCAAATACGAGAGCATGTAATTAAAGAAATAAGTCAGTATAAAGCAACCGGAAACGCTTTTCATTAACTTTTGACGAATGGACATCCCAGCTAATAAGCGATATATGAATATTAATATACATTGCAAAGAGAAATTTTGGAGTTTAGGTCTTATTCGTGTGCACGGATCTATGTCTGCCGAAAGATGTAAACATATTTTGCAGCAATGTTTATATGAACACAGCATTTCACTTACAAAAGACATCGTTGCCATTGTCACAGATGGCCCTAACGTAATGCTGAAAGTTGGAAAAATAGTAAAAGCTGAACATCATTTATGTCTGGCACATGGTATACATCTAGCAGTTTGCGATGTTCTTTATAATAAAAATAAAGACATTGTAGTATCTCAAACTCTAACGAAGGAAATAGCTGTTTCACAAGTAGAAGACGACTGTTCCGGCGACGATGATGATATTAATAAAGATGATGAAGACATTGAAGACTTTACATGTCCGCAGATGGGATTAGATTTTGAACCAATCCATAAAGACATTGAAATATCAAATCACAATGAAATTAATATTAACGAGCTAGTGAAGAAAATACGTAAAACTGTTGTCTTATTCAAGAGATCTCCAACAAAAACGATTCTATTTACAAAATATGTAAAATCTGAAAAAGGTAAAGAGTTAACTCTGCTTTTAGATTGCAAAACACGATGGAATTCTCTTTAACACAATGCTTGAACGTTTTCTTTTTCTTAAAACATGCATACAAAAGCTTTGATTGATTTAAAATCTCCTATTACCTTTGAGGAAAATGATTTTTAACATCATTTCTGATATAGTGGATATGCTTACTCCAGTAAAATTAGCTGTAGAGGCGTTATGTCGTCATGATGCAAATTTGTGTACAGCAGATGCAGTTCTCAAACTTCTCATGTTTGAAATATCTAAAAAGAAGTCATCTTTAGCTCAAAATATGTTTCAAGCTCTAAAAAGAGAATTAGTCAAAGAAGAAAAGAAGAATTATCCGGAGTCTTACAATATTTACACAACCCAACATGCGATGGCGATGATGAATGTATATTTGAATTATTTACTTTACCTAATCAAACAGTCATTAGAAAACAGTTACAAAAAATTATAGAAAGATTAAATGATGAAAATTATTGCGAGAATACAGATATAAACAAAGAAAATGAAAATAAAACTGAGACTGAGACTGAAACTGAACTAAGATAGAAACGGAAACATTAACTTTAAAAAGAAAAATTTCAGCAACAAATTGAAAAAGTATGCAAGTAATAAAACCAGATACTCGAATATCTAATGATTTGGTATCTATTTTAAAGAAAGAAATGGCTCTTTTTGAATCAGTTGGAAACAGAGGACACCATCTTGAATTGGCATATCAATATTTAATGACAATACCCCCACAAGTGTGGAACCTGAACGAGCATTCTCAGCAGCAGGATGTATTGGAAGCAAAATTAGAAGTCGACTTGGAGATGTCACTTTAAATGCATTATTATTTTAAGATCGTTTTTTCAAAACCAAAGAAAGGATTAAGAAAATTTTTATTTTTACCTGTTTAAAATGTGATAACTTACAATTATAGTTAATAGTTATTATAACTGTTAAAAAGTTTTAGTTTTATATTTTAATATATATACATTAAGTATATATGTATAAGTATTTTATTCGTTTATGTTCCTAAAAGTTTCAGAGTGTAATGTTTTATATTTTTAAATTTTCAAAGTTGCGAGTTGCAAAAAGTTATTTTATTTTATTATTTTTTTAAGATTTCTTCTAATAAGTACATAAAAATAACATAACATAGTTATCTTTGATTTTAGTACTTAAAAATGACAAATTAGTAATTAAGAGGATAAACATAAATTTATTTTTTTTTGTTAATTAATAAAGTTATAATTTCTTAAATATTATTATTATTTTTGCTCCATATGTATAAACCGGGACTAGTCCCGGATCCCGAGATTGAGTGCAAAAAATCCCGTAATCCCGGAATTTTAAAATGTCTTCGGGATTGGAAACTCTAGTCCCCATTACAGATAACGTGCAACGTGATGGGTCTCACCCACAATCTCCTTTTTACACCATCTCTTTTTGTCGATTCCTTTCTTCTAATAAACAAGCAATAAGCACAATTGTAAAAGATAAAATAAGAAAATCTTCTTCCATGTAATTCACATCCATATGTCTTATGTCCAATTATGTAGAAGTTGAACATCT